TAATTCTTATTTTTAAAATTTATTATCTATAATTATTTTTTTAATATTTTTGTATTTTAAAAAAGCAAATCAGAGCTGAATAAATGCAAAAACATAGGCAAATTTGTCTGCATTAGTCTACAATCTAAGGAATAAATTTTATGAAGTATTAAGAAGTTTGGTTATATTTCTATTGCATAAACTCATATTTTTTAATAATTATAGATATATAGTTACTAAAAATAATGTATTTTATAGCGTCTGGTGACCTTAGTATAGTAGTTAGGTTGCTAGACCACTATGCAAGAAGTCTGAGGTTCAAATCTCACTGTCGATGAATTTGAATAATTACTTGGATCTTTGTACCCAACTTATGGTAAACTCTGCTCGTTTCTGAGGGTTACAACCCTGTAAATCATATTGCACCAATATCAATTAGATATTGGAAGTATGACACAATGCTCGAGTTATATTACATGAATAAATCTTGATAGGATCTACAGGCAGGGGACTTGCATCGTAGAAATCCTGAGTTTAGTAAAGTAGTATGAATTTTGATGGTTAAGCCAGTTAATACCTGATCCAGTATAAAACCTGAATATGAAGGATATGAGATCGATAGATACAAGTAAGTCTACTATATAATGTAGCCTAATGCTTTGCATTAGTGGCAACACCAACTTGGCTTGGTAGCTAACTAGATTGGAAGGATCTACCTCATGAAATATCTGGCTGGAACTTGGAGGACTATATCTGGTAGATGGCTATGGCAGAAACTAGGTTTGTACGAACATCAACAAGGGTCTAATCTAGGTGAATCTGTGAAATGGGCATATGATCACTCTGATAAGAAATACTTCTAAGGTTAACTGAAGCTCTGCGGCTCACAATACATTGGGCATATGAATTCTGGAAGGACCTAAGCTATTCAGAAAAATATATCTGCAGGTGAACTAGCTGGCGTAAATAGTTAGTCATAGTGGTGACATTAGTTTGGAATGGGAGAAGAGTTAATGATCAGAGTATTTAAATAGGTAACTCACAGGCAGGTTGCAGATATAGCAGCATAGTGTAGAACCAACAGATAGTCGATCATCTATATAGCGAACTACTTAAATTAGACAATGACTAAAGTTATACATGTGGCTTGTTGTATACTCATCATGTAACTGTAAAACCTTAGAAACTGTTCATGTGATAGTTCCATAATAACAAACTAATAAAATCTAATCAGCCAAGGAAGTGGCCTTAACAACAAAAAAAAAAAAGAAATATAAAGTAAATATATACTGATATGATATATTTTTACATGTAGAACAAGGTTACTTAAAGTATAAAGATAGAATTAATTAGTAAAATTTTGAGAATTATAGCAATTATCATAATTTTATTAATAAATTTATGAAAATTACTAAAATTTTCAAAAGTAGTATTCTTAGATTCAGTTCAATTCAGGTCAGATTTATGAACCAAGTTCATTAAACCTAAACTGAACTTCAAATTTTGCAAATTATTGAACCTGAACCTGAACTGAACTTAAAATTTATGAACTTAAATTGAATCTGAACTTGAATTAAAAATTTAATACTGAACTTGAACTGAACTTTTTTTTTAAAAAAGTTTAAGTTTAGTTCACTATTGAACTGAACCTGAATCTGAATCTAACCAAAGTTCAGTTTAGTTCAGGTTCATAGGAATACTACTTGATTGAATCTTCTTAGCTTGATAACTTAAATTAAAATTTCACTATATTTTTGAGAGTTAATAACATAAAAACTACTAGTTATATTTTGCTCAGAATTGACAAATTGTAAGTCTTTTTATGCAATAGTTTTTTGCAAAGAGTAGAGATATTTTCACCATTAGCTTACTTTTGCTCAGAAATAGCAAACTGTTCTTGATAAATCTTTAATAATCTTTAAGGCTTTTGAAATAAGGTAAAGCTAGCTAATCTTCAGTTACTTTTACATAAAAGTAACAAACTATCTTAATTTAAATAAAGTAAAATAGAATGTTCAAAGTAATGTTCATAATGTTCTAAGTCTATATCTATAATGAGATTAGGTATAAGCATCATCTAAGATAATAATCTACAAGAATAGATACATATACAAGTTATATATTCAAGATAAAGTTGTTTAAACTCTATGAGATATCTAAGAGTTTAGTTGTATCTAAATTTCTAAAACTTATTTTCTTTAGTTACTATAGATATGTATAATCTAAAAATAATGAGTTTTGTAAAAGTTATCTACTATGCAAGAGGTAGAAAAAATTTCTAAAAATTTTACTTATATAGCATATTAAAAAAAAAGATACTTTGCAAATTAATTTCATAAAAGCTGTTTTAGAAAGGTATTCATACTATATAACCTTGACTTGATATCTTAAGTAAAGTTGTAGATCAAGTTCTTGTAATCTAATAGATATTAAAATGTTAAAATCTATTTACAGAAAGCCAAGATATAATGATTTTTGTAAATTGCTAGAACTATATATTTCTTCTCTTCTTAGATCTTTTCTAAGAAAATCATTTTTGAAAATGCTAATAGAATCTTTAAAACTAATTTGCAGGTTTGAGAAGTATTTTTGAACTAAGATATATCTTAATAAAAGTTGTAGAGTAGGTTCTTGTGAGTAGAATAGTATGTGTTTCATCCTTCTATATTCAATATTAGTGAATATATTGATAAAATACAATAAGCAATTATAAATTATTTTGAAGAAACTTCTCTTTAGATTTTTTTTTGGGTATAGGATGTACCATAATTCCAATAGTTCATTCTTAGTTTATCATCATCTGCTTATATTGAATAGTATACCAGACAGAGATCTTTTCATTTCTTTTTCACTAAAAAGCACCAAAATGTTACAAGTAGCATAGCTTTCTCAATATATTATAAGTAATATAAAACACAAAAGGAAGACTTCTAATAGTGTCATAGTGGAATATTATATCACTGTAGCAGTTTGTTTAAAGGAAGCATTAAGCAAAGCTAAGGTTATACTTTATTAAGATTTAATAGAAGACTTTGGACTTTATTAAGTATTGTATTTTATTAAAGAACTGTATAGACTGTTTTATAAGAGAGAAAAAAAACTAAGGTTTATATATCTTTTTACAAACATTGTTAAATGTCATCAAACATTATCAATTGTAGCTAAACATTATCAATCATAGCTAAACATTATCAATTGTAGTTAAACATCATCAAACATAGTTAAACATCATCAAATGTAGTTAAATATCATCAAATGTAAATGTTACTCAAAATATTAATCCTAAAGTAACTCAAAAACTATATATGCTACAAATATAATTTATAGCTCATTTTGAAGGTCTAATCGAGCTACATCAAATGGTATAACCTAAATCTATTTTTAGCTATTAAGAATTCGAAAGAAACACTAATATATAAATCTAAATATCTAAATTAATATAATAATAATTAATTAAGAAAATATGCTAAAGTTCATTTGATAACAATATGATTAAACAGTTGAACGATTAAAGAAATACAGTATTAGGCGGGTTCCAATTCCTACCAATTAGAATATTTGACAACAACTTAGTCGATTAAGCCGATTTTTAAATATTGACTTAGTCGAGTCGATAAATTTAGGTCGACTACAAACATTAGAACGATGCATCGCAGGTGCGATAAATATATTCACTCTAATTAATATTGCATTATAAGCTTAAGAAAATTAAAGTAAATTTAAAATTAAAACCATGTATACAAAATTTTTGATAAGTTCTAGATAAAATAAGTTATTGAGCTATTCAAAAAGTAAATTAAACTACAAAATTTATCCACATCAAACTATCTCTTTGGCTTTGGAATTGAGCTCCATCGTTTTTCACACTGCCTCTTCTATATCTACGGTACTAATTCTTACATCTCTAATATCTCTACTAGCTTCTATATTGACTAACTCTCTATCTTTCTTGCAAGCTGACACTGGGATTTTCATATATGCGACCTCTTTGTTCCTATAAACTTTTCTTAGTACTTGGTGCCAGCTCTCTCGTTTTTGCCTTATTATACAGCTTTGGTCATTACGCCTTCCTAGATCACAGCCTCTACACTTTTCTAAAGTAGTAATGACCTTGTTATCATCATTCGCTATCAGTTGCCAGTGCTCCACAATTAATGATTTGGCCTCTTTTTTTATTACTTTTCCACTTTCAACTTTAATCCCCTTCTCAAAGATTATCCATTCTTTCTTTCTCTTGTCTGCGGAGACTCTTTTATCTTCAC